GAGCTTAAATATTGCATAGTTTCTCTTATATGAGAACCCAAAGTATAAATAAAGACCAAAACTAGAAGGTAGATAGTAGAAAGTAGGGAGATAGATCTTTCCCAATGGGAAAAGGGACCAAAAAATGCAGGGTGGGAAGGGAAGGGGGTGAATAAAGGAATTGCGATGTGTTATGTACATGTACCAACTCCACCTTGGTACTGCAAACACGTACCATTAAAGAGAATGACCTTTAAAAGCGCCACTAATGGTACTGCAAACACGTACCATTAAGGAGAATGACCTTTAAAAGCTCTCCCAACAAAGAAAAGCTGCAGACCTGATAGACCTGCTGCTGAATTTACCAGAACTAACATCAAGACGCTTCAGATTCTTCCATTAAATCGAATTGAAGGAGCACTGTCAGACTCATTCCCTGAAGCTAGTGTTTCCCTGACACCAAAACCAAATGATGACTCCACAAAAAAAGAAAATTACCGGCCAATACCTTCAAAGAACAGGGATGTAAATGACCTCGACGGGACCCTGGAGAGCAGGATGCAACAAATATTAAAAAGATCAAGACCACTTTAACTTCATCCCAGGGGTGCAAGGGTGATTCCATGTTCACAAATCAATAAATGTAATATACCACCTAGCCAGAAGTTAGGATAAAACCCACATGATCATATCAATTTGACAAAATCCAACATCCACTCATAGTTAAAAAATACACTGATGAAAATAGGTATAGAACAACATTACCTGCCACATTTGGTGGTACACACCTGTAATCCCAGCACTTGGGAGGCTGAGGCAGGAGGATTGCCATGAATTCAAGGACAGCCTGGACTACATAGTGAGTTCAAGGCCAGCCTGAACTGCAGAGTGAGACCTTGTCTCAAAAAAAAAAAAAAAAAAAAAAAAAAAAAAAAAAGTCAAAATATGGACCCTGAACTACAAAGTGAGACCCTAACTCGAAAAGAAGAAGGAGGAGGAGGAGGAGGAGGAGGAGGAGGAGGAGCAAAAGGAGATGGAGGAGGAGGGGAGGATGAGAAGGAGGAGAGGGGACTAGGGGGAGGAGGAGAAGGAGGAGAAGGAGGAGGAGAACCTTTCCTTAAACTGACAAAAGTCACTTTTGACAAATCCATTGCCAACATCATACTCAATGGGAAAAATTGGAAGCATTCCCTCTAAAATCAAGAACAAGACAAGGTGTTTATTCTTGCCCCTCCTGATGACAGCGATGTAGTACTCAAAGCTTTAGCCACAGAAATCAGGCAAGAGAAAGAAATAAAAGGGATATGCGTAGGATAGGAAGAAGTCAAACTATCATTATTTGTGGATAACATGACTTTTTAAATAGAAGACCCCCGAAACACCAGATGATTCTTAGAGCTAATAAAAAATACAGCAAAGTGGTAGAATGCAAAATCAAAATACAAAAATCAATAGTGTTGCTGTACCCCAAGAATTAACCTACCAAGAAAGAAATCAGGAAAACAATTCTGCTTTTGGGAGCTTAAAAATTAAATATCTAAGAATTAACCTAACCAAGAAATTTAAAGATTTCTATAATGAAAACTAGAGTAGTCTGAAAAACAAAAAGGATTGAAGAGAACATCAGAAAGCAGAAATGCATCCCTTGTACCTGGATAGGCAGAGCCAATATTTTGAAAATTCCCAGTTGAATTGCTCAAAAGAGGAAACAACCGGGATGAGGGAAAGGAGAAAAGGAAAGAAGAAGGGAAAAAATATATGTGTATACAGAACGATAGCTGGGCTAACTGTACTGCTGATGTCTAATGGTTTATTGAAAGGAACAGTTAATGCTTTATTTTTTTGACCAATTTTGCATACTTAGACCTGGTAATCTGAACAACTAATTTGAAGACAACAATATGCAACATAACAACCATTGTTGAATTCCTATCATTTTGTTTGGTGAAACTCTGTATCATTTATAATTTTTTATTTATTTTTTATTCTTTTTAATGGTTTGATTAATCTTGCATTCTTACATCTGGCAATCTGACCAACTTCAGTGAAGACAAAATATGTAATATAACAACCACTGTTAATCCCTATCATTTTGTTTTGAAACCCTGTATCATTCTTATTGTTTTGCTTTGTTTTGTTTTTATCTATGTTGTTGGCATTTTGCTATTGTTCTTTTTAAACTTCTCTTTAAAATAAGAAAAAGAAAATGCCCAAAAATGATATATAGATTTAATACAACTTCAATCAACAACACTCTTTGAAGAACTAGAAGCAACAATCCTAAAATTTCTGTGGAACAAGAACCAACCTAGAATAGCCAAGGCAACCCTATGCAACAAGAGGACTTAAAATCTCAGATTTCAGATTATACCACAAGGCTACAGTAATGAAAACAGCATGGCACTGGTGCAGGAAATGGACATGTAAATCATTGAAATAGAATAGAAGACATAGAACAGCCCCATACATTTTCACCTACCTGAACTTTGACAAAGGGCTAAAACCAAATGCTGGAGAAAATACAGCCTCTTTAAAGAATGGTGTAGGGAAAACTGGTTACCACCTGCAGAAGAATGAATCTAGACCCACATCTCTTACACTGTACTACAGTCAAATTAAAATGGATCAAAAACCTAGACATACATCAGAAATACTGAAGCTGCTGCAAAATAGCTTAGGTAAAACTCCTATCCACATGCATAGGCTAGGACTTTCTGAACAGAAATTCAACTGCATAAGAAATAGTGCCAAGAATTAACAAATGGGATCATATCAAATTAAAAAGCTTGTGTGCACAGCAAAGGAAACAATCAATCATGTGAAGAGACAGCTTACAGAATGGGAAATAATTTTTCCAACTACCTCTCTGATAGAAGATTGTTATCTAGAATATATAAAGAACTGAAAAAATTAGACTGCCCAAAGCAAAAGACCCAATCAATATGTGGGCATTTGAAGTAAATAAATGCTTCTCAAAAGAAAAAGTTTGAATGGCAAATAAGTACATAATTTTTTAGCATCTTTGAAATTAAAATCAAAATAATAATGAGATTCTCTCTTGCTCCAGTGAAAACTGCTATCATCAAACACTTGGGAGGCTGAGGCAGGAGGATTGCCAAAAGTTCAAGGCCAGCCTGGGCTACACAGTGAGTTCAAGGCCAGCCTGGACTACAGAGAAAGACTCCATGTCAAAAAAAGTGCTATCATAAAAAATTCAAAGACAATAAATGTTGACAAGGCTATAGGGGGAAAGAAACCCTTCAACACTGTTGGTGGGAATATAAAAATCAGTTCTGCAATTCCTCAAAAAACTAGTAACAGAAGTTTCATACAACCTCGCTATGCCTCTCCTGGGCAGCTTCCCTGAGGAGGTAAGGACATTATATTACAGTGATACATACATACTGGTGTTTGTAACAGCACAAGTTGCAGTTGCATAATTATGGAAGTGGCCTATATGCCCATCAGCATGTGAATGGATAAAAACAACGTGATAGATACAATGGAATACTACTCAGCCATAAAGAAAGATCAGCTTCAGTAATTTGTAGGAAAAAGGATGGATCCTGAGAAGATAATGCTCACTGAAATGAAATGATAATATCACATGGTTTCTTTTACACAAGAAGACCTGGACTTGAGAAAACCAATATAACTGTACTGTAATAACACTGTTTCTTATTTCCTCGTACAAATATTAAAAAATGATTAAAAGAACAAAGTATAGGCGAGACGATGGCCAACAGGGAAGCAGACATTTCGGGGAAGGGAAGGACGTCCGGGGACGGGAGAAGTGGGAAGTGAAGCGGGTGCTGGGGAAACAATCAGGATTCAAAATGGGCAACTACTTCTTCCCCACACAGATAGAATTATTATGTGTCACCGACCCGTGATGATAGAAATATCTTAGCGAATCGCGTCCTCCCCCTGGTGGTGAGTGCCACAAACACCACGCTGGACAGCCCGAAGCCGCGCCTGAGAGGGCGGAGCGTCCTGGCTTCCCGGCCCTCAGTCGTCTCCAGTGGGAGAAGAGAAACCGCTGCAGCTCCGTGCCCCCGCAGGTTCGTGCGGATGAGTGGGGCCCGCGGCGGGGGGGGCGGGGGGCCGGCTTTGGGAGCGTGCACTGACACCGGGAGGCGTACGGGATGGGACGACACACGGGTGCAGTGACAAATTTTCATCTCCAATTCCAGGGGGGCTTTTGCCCTCTTTCCCTCAACCGGTGAAGTCTCCGTCCCTTCCCCTTGAATCTGAGCATGGTTTTGCCTATGCTTATTGTGGTAGAAGGTCATAAGGATATCAAGTACCTTTGTCTGTCTGTCTTTCTGTCTGTCTCTTTCTGTGTCTGTGCCCCACCCCCCAGATTTTTGAGACAGAGTCTCGCCATGTAATCCAGTGTGGCCCTGAACTCACTATGTAGCCCAGGCCTTGAACTCACTAGGTAGCCCAGGCTGGCTCCAAACTCACAGAGATCCTCCTGCCTCAGCCTCCTGAGTGCTAGGATTACACTCACCTTTCTTAATGTGATCAGTCTTGAAGCACAACAATCATGCTGTAAGCAAACTCAGCCGTCTGTGAACTTCTACAGTGACCAAGAATATGGAAAGGAAGGAGAAGAGGGAGGGCACAAAAGAGGAACACGTGAGGGAAGGGAAGGAGGGAGGAAGTCAGGGCGGGACGAAGAAAGGAAGGAAAGCAGGAAGGAGGGGAGCCTGGCACAGCAATGAGAACGCCTGTGCCAGTGACAGAATGGAAGAATTCAGGATGCCTTTAGCAGTCAGGTCCTGCAAGATGTGGAATGATTTATAAACAGGCAGGGAGCGGGAAGGTAAAGGGCACTGCTGACATCTCAGCCTTCTGGGGGAAAGTTGTACAGTTCGGGGCTCAGCTCTTCCCAGGGCACGCTTCTGCAGCTCTGCCCTACGGACCGTTGGGCTCTGCCCGTTTTGGTGGGGAGCCTTCGAATGAGGTGACCCTTCCTACATCAGGCGGGGAGAGGATGATGAGCTGCGTGTCTGTACCTTCACAAACGGCGCCGTCGGCGATGAACCCAGCCTGGCAGCTGCAGTTGTAGCTTCCCGGGAAGTTGGTGCAGAGGGCGTGGTCCGGGCAGACCCCACTGGAGAGGCACTCGTCGATGTCTGGGAGACAAAGGGCCGTGAGTGAGGAGAGCTCAGATATCTAAGTCTCGGGCCCCATCCTGGTGGCGGATGTCCGCCGGAGCCCACCCCAGGGGTCCTGCAGTGGTACCTGTGCAGGCAAAGCGTCCCGGTTTTCCCGGCCTCCAGCCGTTTCCAGTGGGAGAAGAGAAACCAGGAAAACAGCTGCAGCTGTATCTCCCCGGCAGGTTCATGCAGACGGAGTGGGGCCCACAGGCGGGGGGGCTCTGGGAGCATTCGTCGACATCTGGACATAGAGAGGGATGGAGTGGCGAACGTGCCCCCTGTTGGGTAGCAGGTGGCATTTGCCAAGGTCAGGGATGGCAGTATCTCCGGCAGGCCTTCCAGCCAGTGCTGGGGTCCGGGTTCCCTCCCCCGGAGCGGGAGCCTTTGCCTGCTTTGGTGGTAAGGACACCTGCACTCCCGCCTTGCTCTCCCGGGATGCTGAGCTGTGAAACGCGGCCACTCCACCGTGATGAAGCCACGTGGACCTTTCATGATTCCCAGGAATCAGAAAACGATAAGAGGAAGGGTAGAAGGTGTAGTTTTGCTCCAACGAGATGTTTCTCCTTGGAGCCAGCTGACCATGGACTGAACCTCTAAAACCCGAGCAAAATTAAACCTCTCCTCCTCTCAGCTGTGGCTGCTGGGTATTGCGTCCATCCACGGGAGAGGGGACTAGTACAACCCGGCTCCCAGCCGGCTTCCACCGGCCTTTCCTGCCGACTGCTGGAGGGCTCGGGAGGTGGAACTCACCCGCGCACTGCACTCCCGGGCTGTTGAAGCGACTCTGTCCGTTGGTGGCCAGGAAGCCTTGCTTGCAAGTGCAGTAGTAGCTGCCCGCCGTGTTGTGGCAGGTGGAGTACGCCGGGCAGGTGGTGGTGTCCAGGCACTCGTTCTCATCTAGACGGCAGGGAAGGGAGAGCGTGGGCGAGACCGGAGCAGAACGCGCAGCCGCCAGGAAGCACGGCGCCGAGAGGCGGGGGCGGCTCTCGGGGTTAAACTGTGCTCACGAGATACATTAATGCCCTACGTGCCAGCGCGTGAGAATGCAGTCTGGTCTGAGAGTGGGGTTTTTGCCAGGGTGGTGAAGATGTGCGTGAAGATAAAGTAGCCCTAACGGGCATCACTGGCGTCCACACAGGAAAAGAATCTGGGCCCGGTGGGTGTCCCTCTCACTGCAGCACTCAGGAGGCTGAGGCAGGAGGGTTGCTGCAAGTTTGAGGTCAGCTTGGGCTAGGGAGTGAGTTCAAAGCCAGCCTGGACTGCACAGTGAGACCCTGTCTCAGAGAGCTGGGGGAGGTGGGGACAGAACTAAGGAGAAGACCGTGTACTAGTGGGGGCAGGGAATGGAGGGGTGCGTCTCTAAGCTAAGGAACACAAGGGACCCCCGGAATAGCAGAAGCTAAGAAAAATGCATGGAGCAGATTCTACCCTGCAGGCGTTAAGGAGAGAATGACCTCCCCAGCTCCTTAACTTCAGACTTCGGGCCTCCATAACTGAAAGAAAAACTTTCTGTTGGCTTCACCCACGCATTCTGTGCTTCTTTGTTAATATGAAGACCCCAGAACCTTGCTACTCAGGGAAAGAGACTGTCATGGAGAGCCTCCGGAAAGAGCGAAGCCCCCCAACATCTGGATGTTATAGTCCAGCCAGACTCATTTTGGACTTCTAATCTCAGAACTGCAGAAGAGTAATTTTTGTTGTTGCCAGCAGGTATATGACAGTTGTTATAGTGACCATAGGAGTCAATACAATTCCAAGGATGCAGCTGTGAATGAAACAAGGCTCAGAGAGGTTAAGTGACTTGCCCGAGGACACACAGCTGGTAAGCAGCAGAGTTAGGTCTTTCAAAATCCAAAACTGCACGGTTTTAAGGACTGCTACAGGAAAGGAGGCAGGTTCAAGGGGAAAGAGAATAAACTTCCAGGTAATTCCTAAGAAAATGCTATGTAAAAACTTTGGTAATTGGCTGTTTTGGTGCCTGCCATTGTAACTATGAGATTCTGGAGGCAAAGGACTGTGTTTATTTTTTGCTGCTGAGAACGGTGTCTGGTATACAGCAGGCACTCAGTAAAAATGTGTGCAGTGGATGAAAATCTCTGCCCTTATGAAGCGTTTGTTCTGGTTGGGGAACGGGAGGGAGAGAGCCATGGAGAAAGCAATGAAAAAGTAAACAGACTTAGCAGAGTGTTTGATGATGATCAGAAGAATAAAAGGGAGAACGGGAGTGTGGAGAGTGGGGGGTTGGAGAGGAACAGCTTTAAGCAGAGAGGCTCATATTGGCTTCTCACAGAAGGTGCTATGTGAGCAAAAACCTGCAGGATCTCAGTAAGTGAGCTACGAAGCTATTTAAGCAAAAGGAACAGGAAGTGCAAAGGCCCTGGGGCAGAACCGTATCTGTTTTTTCAGAGAATAAAGGGGAAGCCGGTGTAACAAGAGCAGGGGTGAATCACACAGGATCTGCTACTTCACCGTATGAGGTTAATGTCTCATCAAACAGAGCTGGGTGCCAAGGGAGAAGTTTGGCTTCGCATGAGCCTCCCGGCACTGGTTGGAAAGTAAACCGTGGAGCAAGATGACCAGGGGGGAGGTGAATTCCCTCCTTGTTCAGGGAACAAGGTCGCTGAGTGCAACCCAGGTGGAAGCAGTGAAGATTATGCGCTTCTAGACTGGCGTGAAAGCGACGCTAACAAAACTGGCTGAGGCAGTGGGCGTGGCGAAGAGGCGCGGATCATGCTGATGCCCGCAGGGAGCGAGAGCGCTTTGCTGAGGGACGGGACACCGTGGTTCCAGCAGGCGTCACTTTGTGTTACCCTGGTCTTAGCACGGAGCTCTCGCCTCCTGTCTTGCACTTTCTTCATTTCTCTGCCCGTATGGGACCTCTGATTGCATCTCTCTTCTCGTTTGCACCCCCTCCCCCGTTTCCTCTGCAGGGTCAACGTTTCTCTTCACAAACTTCCGGCACCTTCCACTTGGGCTAGTTTAGATCTTCAAGGTCCTAGTTACCGTTTCCCTTTACCTCAAATCACTCAGGCCTCAAAACCTCTCCAAACCAGAACAACAACCCACTTCTGTGTGAGCGGACACCTGCCAATCTCTCCAGCTCACCGCCTGAGCCATCTCATCAGCCACACCTGTCTCACCCCATGCTCTAACTCCTCCCAGCCACAGGACCTTTGCACATGCTGCTCCTGGTGCTAGATACACCCTCTGCCCCCACTTGCTATTCTCCTGCTTGGGCACTTTCAATCCATCTGTCCTTGAGTGTCAGTCAAAACAGTACTTCCCTCAAGAATGTCTTCCAAACAATCTCAGAGACCCCGTAAAACAAAAATGCTATAAGAAACATCTCATGTCTTAAAAAAATAGGGACACAAATAATTTTCAGAAGAAAAGTAAGTTAGGACAAATATAAGGTTTATCACCATACAGAAAAAACAGTAAAGTGGGTACAGTGGTGCACATCTAGAATACCAGATGCTCAGAAGGCTGAGGCAGAAGGATCACAAGTTCAAAGCCAGCCTGGGCAACTAAGGGAGACCCTATCTCAGAAGATAAACCTTAAAAGGCCTGGGGTGTGGGTCAGTGGTAGCATGGCTTACCTAGAACGCACGAGACCCTGAGTTTGATCCTCAGCGCTGGAAACAAGGAAGGAAGGAAGGAAGAGAGGGAGGAAGGGAGGAAGGGAAGAAGGGAGAAGTGAAACAATATCTCTTTGGTCAAATGCAAGTCTTACGGGACAAGGGAACTAACAAGTTAAGCAATGCAGAATTATTTTTAATTATCCAACTCTGTCCTGTGCCTTTCAAATACCATCCTTTATGCAGGTTCTCTGTTACTATCTAGGTTAAAGAAGGCATTTGGACTTTTGTTAAAGAAAAGAGGGAGACTTTCAGATCCCTGATGTAGTTTAGATTCGGTCATCTTTACTACCTACAATCAGATCATACTATGATTTTCCTTAAAGATAAAAAAAAAAAAAAATGTATACCTGTCATCCCAGCACTCTGAGAGGCTGAGGCAGGAGAATCACAAGTTTGAGCCCATCCTAGTCAACTTAAAGACTCAGCAAGATCTTGTTTCAGAATTGAAAAAAAAAATTTTTTTTTTAAAGAACAGGGGATGTAGCTCAGTATGAAAGCCCTGGGTTCAACTCTGGTACCAAACAAAACTCATTACTCTAGGTGTATCTGTGAGGGTGTTTGGGTGAGGTTAACTTTAACTGAAATCTGTGGGCTGACTGACGCAGACAGCCCCCTGCAACATGAGTGGGCCTTGTCCAATCAGCTGATGGCTCAAGAGAACAAAAAAGCAGAGGCTTTTTTTTTTTTTTTTCTGAATGCAAAAAATGCTTCCTGCACCATGGACTGTAAACTGGAACACTGACTTTTTTTTTGTCCGCCATCCATTGGATTTGGACTACGCTGCTGGTCCTTCTGGTTCTAAGACTTTGGACTTGGAGTCCGGGTGGATCATCAGCGCTGCTCCTCCCGGCAGCATCGGCCTCAAGAGCTCGGTGCTTGCGAGCCCCGTCCACTTGCGATTTTCTCAGAAGTCACCCGTCGCATTGGTTTTGTTCCTCTGGAGAACGCTGCCTCACACAGGCGGCCCGTGACATGTCGCACACTCTGCCAGACCCTGCAGCTCTGGTGGTGGGACGTCCCCCCTAGAGCGGGGGCTGTGGAGAGGGGCAGCGTGGAGACAATGTCAAAATTATGGAAGTCACCGAGAAGATACCAAAGGAAGAGAAACCAAAGGGAGGTGAGGGAGGGCGTTGCGGAGGTGTGTGAAGCAGCACTCAAAGCCTAGGGGCAGCCTGTGTGAAGGCCCGGGGCGGGGCTCAGCCCTGAATGAGAAACAAGGAGGCCCTGCTGGAGCAGAGGAGCAGGGGGCGACGGGGTTGGGGAGGCAGGGCGGGGACAGGCAGGTCATAGGCCCTGCGGGCTTTGACCTTGAGGGAGGTGGGAGCCATGGCGGGTTGTGGGGAGAGGAGGAACCTGACTGAGGTGTTCCTGGTCACCCTTTGATTACCGCTGGAAGGTGAAGGTGCTGGGAGGCCAGAGCAGAGCCCATCTCAGATTGTTCAGCTGCAGCCCGGCCAATAAGAGCTGGACAGCTTCTGTCTATACGGCCTGGAGAAGAAGGAGGAGGGGGAGGGAGAGGAGAACAAAGCAGAAGAGGAGGAGGAGGAGGAGGAGGAAGGGAGGTGGGGAAGGAGGAGGAGAGGAGAGGAGGGGCGGGAGCAGGAGGAGATGGAGGGAGAGGGAGAGGAGGGGAGGGGAAGACAGTGGGGGAGAGGAGCTAAGGGAGCCGGGAGAGGAGACAGAGGAGGAAGGGAGACGGAGGAGGGAAA